GGATCCTATAGAAATTCCTATAGGAAATCCTATAGGAAATTTTCGTAAGGGTTGATAAATACCTGAGGAACAGTTTACATGACTTGACATAATATCTTCTTGTTGAAATATATAGGTAATATCTAAGCAATATATATTTCTTTCTAAATAACATGCATGTTACTACATTTCATTCGACTACTGCAAGAAAGTGAACATGTATTTAAAAACCTTTGGAATCTACGTTTTTGTACGGATTGAAGAAATCAAGATTCAGCGTTTACCATGGAAAAGAAATAACGAAAGCACATCACACACGCGGCAGTAGAAGTGCCTGGTCACGTATTGTTGTTGGGCAGTCGGTCCTGACATCGTATTTCCTGCTAAGATGTTTACCATTGCAACTCAATTCGTGTTTTCATATTCGACATTCATCACTGCAAATGGTTCAGGAAAAAAGACACCTACCTGGGCCGAGTTCGCACAAAAGCAGAGAACAAGCAGCAACAATGCTGCCTTCATCTTGCTGGCTGGATGTCTGTTTGAGATGCTTACACTGTGAACGCGGTGATTTGTCCGGGAAATTAAAATGTGTCCTAAGTTACTCCGCCCTTACACGCGCTAGAGTCGAAATGATTATTCTTTAAGAGATGCAATTACGTCACCTCTTTCCAAAATCAACAGGTGTAGTGATATCCTCATCTCTGGGACTACTTACAGGGCCTGCAGCCGACAGCTGTCAGCCTAACCTCACCCAGTGATTGACCAATGACAAGCAGGCTGCACCCGGACTTAGCTAATGACTCGTTTTCCAGACCCGGACTTTGGTGGAAAGTAAGCAAATGGGTTTGGGGAATTTTTCAATTATAAGTTCCTGATTTTCAGGCTCAGCAATTCCCGGACCTTAAGGAGATTACTGCGTCTGTGGTTTGGTAAACACACGTATCTGTCTGTTCCATACCAACAAAGGAGTGACTCCAGTGTTTTTCCAGGGGCAAAAAAAAGTTAAAGTATTTCTTTCACAAAAAAAGTATAGTGTAGTGCATATTACTCCTTTCATGCTAAGCATATGCTAGATGTCATTGCAATAATAGGGGACGTGTAAGTAGACAAGTGAAAGCATATGGAGGGGGGGCGACAAACGCAGACCCTATCCACTTATTTGCCCAAGTGTTCCATAAAATTGGCAAGTGTTGGGGCATGTTGTGTGAGTTGTGTATAGCAGACTTGTTAATGTCCCAAAATTGGGACAAAAGCTGCATTTTATGGTACAAATGTCTATAACTCGGCAGGAATGTTCCTTGGGCCAATATAATTTTTTATTCATTAGAAACAGTCTCTATCGCCGCATAAATTAGCATAATCAGCATAAAGAGATTGATTCTTACAATTTTGGGGGTTGGAAAAGAAATATTTGATTTTGTTTTGGTTATATGAGGTGATTTGAAAGGACAAAGATGTTTAATTAGTGACTTCCAAGATATATGTCTGTGAAATCTGCAAAACCTTGGGCTTTGATCTCCTATTCGAATATATCTCAATACATTGTTTTCTTATTAACCATCTGTCATTGTGAACAACAACAACAACAACAACAATAAAGAAATAAAGTAATAAAGAAATAAAAAAGAAAACGCGTTTTTGGCAAGGCCTCAACCTAAAGAAGTAGCTGAGCCAGGGTGGCTCGAGCCTCCATATCAGCGAGGGAATTAGGAATATCAGCCCCCCCCNATCCTACCTGAGCGCATAGCTCCCATAAGCTACCACTCGTTCTTTGCAACCCTGAACCTGGATTAACTTTGCCCCAATAGCGTGATCAGAGGCGTCAGTATCCAGGATGAACTGATCTTCCAGGTTAAGCAACGCCAGCACTGCCGGCTGTCAGAGCTTTCTAAAGTGATTAAAAAGCTGCACGACAGCTCACTACTATACCCCGGAAATACTTATTATTTGCAGTCACTGTATACAGAGGTACATGCTGCTAATTCAGAAAAATTCCTTATAAACCCTCTTTGATAGTTATCTAGATCCAAGATACCATAGCCCATAGGTCTTGTCAATCTCGCATCTATGGAAATCAGTAAATGGCGAACAAAAAAACCCATTTTTAGGGCTCTAAACTCTGTACAGGTAGTAAAAGACAAATGCGGCATGGACCTTGTCAGTTCCGCTTCTATAGGGATTAATAACATACGAAAAAGACACCGTGACTTTGTGTGTGTGTGTGGGTGGGGGGGTGGGGGGGGGGCGGCAGCAATTATGTCTTAATTCGTTTTTCGCGACAATTATAATACATCTGCGATGACTGCATGTAAGCAAAAATTGCACTACAAATTCCTTGCTGAATCGGCACTTGACTGTGGAAAATTCATGAAAATGCTCCGTTTCTTCATTCACTAATGATGGTCATCTTTTGTCCGTCCACACATTGTCCACATTTTTTATGTGACTCCAACATGTACTATATATAGGCACTGTCATTTGTATCTGCAATTATAATACACAGAGAGAGAGAGAGAGAGAGAGAGAGTTATGTAAAAATATACATCTTTTTATACCATCCAGTAATTAATATAATTTATAACAAATATTATAAAAATAATACCCAGATAGATCAGTAGAATAAGTTTGTGTATACGAGACTTATGTTAAAAAGAACTGATGGAAAGATCATTATTATATCTGTATCCATAGTTGTTAAGGGCCAGGGCACACCTGTAGGTTTAGCAATAACGACAGCTATCTTGGTAATTAACATGGATGGCACCATCGCCAGTTCTGGGAAGCAACATCAACTGCAGCAACTCTGCATCTGCCTCGACTTTTTATCGTGAAGGGATGGGACGCTAACTATATGTTCTATTAAGAAATACACCCAACTAACGCTTGTGAATTACTGAAGTACGACTATACCTCTGAGCAACACATATCTAGCTTGTTATCTTTAAATGCGTTAATGCAAATGAAAAACATGGTAAGGAAAAGGTATGATTATATAACATACATTAAGAGTTACTGTATTCCAATAAATAAGAGAATTTGGCAATGTTTTAAACACAGATATTCGGAGAAATACATGTGAAATGTCAGACATTTGGAAGGGAGTTCTTTCTCTTTTAACCTTTTTACATGACCCAACTTGAGAAATGGCATGGGACTCAGATTAAATTTTAATGTAGAGAGAACATTTTTTGACCAAAATAAAAATTATATCACCTCCCCCCCCCCTCCCGAAATCCCCTGCGTATAGCTATTTATTTTCACTTTCAGGAAACGACTACCAGTTGATTTGACTAAAATATAGGATTGGGAAAAGTACTTCATGGAGAAACCCACCTCCTGCAACAGTTCTTTTGCTTAGTGATTTGAATAATTATAGAATAACCATATGACCTAAATATTTTTTACCAAATTCTGATGGATAATGCACCTATCATTCGTAAGTCTTTTTGTATACACTAAAGATTTTCTTACTACAATACGTAGTATTTTCATCATTAAAAAAATACTCAATGTTTTCGAACTTTTGTTCAAGTGTGCATAAACAGGTCTAGTAACATTTGACATAATCTGTGTGTTGACTGTTTATTTCTAATGATCTAGTTTTAATCATACTTTATCATGTGATCCGAACAGCTTTAAAACACCAAAGGAACACGCATACGTAAACTAAATGATATCGTTCTATATTCAGCTACTGGTATAACATGGTTAATGTTATCTACTGACTGAAAATTACATTTTAGTTCGAGGAAAAATGCAATGAACTGAAACGTTTGCTTTCTGAGAAATTATCCATGAAATATCACTTAATTTTGGTTAGTATTACATACCTGTATTTGTGCAATAACTAAGCTGAATATATGGTGCATGTAGGCTGCAGTATAGCAATAATAGTTCAAATATACATACTACGCATGCCATGACACGTACATGTATAATACCCATGCTGAATAATTCATACCTAAAATCCAATTACAGCAGTGATAAAATCGATAGGGGAGACCGGGGCTAGTTGGACCCCGGGGTAAGTTGCCCCCCCCCCCTCCATCAAGTATCTTTAATAAAGTTACTTTAAAGTGCTAAATTATTTCATTTGGACTCACTTCCGACGCTTTCTTAGCACTATTGGATACGGTCACTAAATACAACATGATGTGATCAATTCATTTGCCCCATAGTTACTTTGTCATAAATTGATGGGGGGGGGGGGGGGTAAAAAATAACAAACTATTCTGATTTCTGTGCTTGGCAAGTACAATGTATTTGTACCAAATAAAACCTAAAATGGTTTACAACTTGGATTCACGCCGCTTCATAAAATTTCCAAACATCATAGTAGAGTTCACATTGAGTTCATCTTCCTTCTTTGATCACGTTTTATCAATACCAGCATTCCCAATCTCCTCTTTGACTTTTTATTCCTGTTGGTTTTGTTGTTTCTATTCACAGTAACCTCCCAGTCTTGGTTTAACTGTGGCAGATAGGTCCTGGTGGTCACTTGGGGAATGATACGATGAAGTCTGTAGTTCCCTTTGATTATTTATTTGTCCTTACCTAGTAAATAGAAAGTTACCAGCAACGATATCGAGTTTCAGTGTGTTTGACACCCACAGTATATTTATGCACAGGTTTCTGTATAAAGAAAAGCCTATATCAGTTGGCAAAAATTGGTGAGTGTGTGAACGTGCGAGTCGGTGGTGTGTGTGCGTGTATATATGTGAGTGTGTGCTTGGTCTGAATATGTATCTTATTCTGAATATATCTTTCAAGCAATTACATGAACCTGACGGCTTCGAGAAGAATAGTAGTCTTTTGACAACGTATATGTAGACACTAAGTGTTGAACAGGATTAAAATGTCCATTTCTGTTTCATCAATATAACCAGTGATACTAACGGCATAACACATGTAATAACATCTTTTCCCAAAGAAATGTGGTGGTAAACGTTTTCCTCATAAAAAAAATGTTTGAATAAAAACAAATTTCGAGGGTTACTCTCTCTCTCTCTCTCTCTCTCTCACTTAGAACACACAACACAGGTCACCTCCCACCCGTCTACATAGTTAGGACAGGGGAGGGGACCACAAGCAGCTTCAACTACGTAAAAGAGAGCTCCGTCTTTATTAGCTGCAGTTCCTGGAACCACTTCTGGAGCTTCATCCAAACAGACGTAGCTTTGCTTATAGTGGCTCAGGTGAGCGGAAACCAGGTAGCCATGATACTCTCGTGTCCATCCAACGGGACAAGTCTTCCATGCTGGAATCATAACATGACTGGTGCGGCCTTGGGTGTGACAAACAGCACATGGGGCACCATATTCTTTGGGATTTTGCCCCTTGGTATTGGTCCTCAGGAATGGGTCATTGCTGAAGTATCCCATCTTATATTCGGCACCATATATATAGGATCCAGAATTCTGGCGGCCATTTTGGGGTTTGCCCCACTGTGGTACTTCAGGCAGACATAGGTAGTTGTTACCACCACCTTTAGTAACATGATTATTGCCAGCTGAGTAACCTACAAGTAAACAGCATAACAATTGTAAATGGCGATATTTGGCATATTGTTACCACAAATGTAACTCTCGATCCTTTTTGCAGATTCTCATTAAAACAATAATAATATTGTACGCGTAGCAGAAATATGTCCAGTTTACCACATCATTTGGCGGGCAAGTTTACAGAAATTTGAAGAAGGGCCCGTTTTAAAGAAATATTTTGCCGACCGAGTGATAATTTAGTTTTTTTATTATTAAAAATATTGATTTTTGGCACCTAGACTTACAGGATTAATATGGAATATTCTTTTATCATTGCTATTTTTGAGTGCTGATTAATTTTTGGGCTTGATTCATTAATAAAGTACGTGTATGTCATTGAGTGATGAAAATATCCAGTCTTCTATTATGAGATATTTTGGTCAATGACATCAAATCTAACATAAGATATGTCATTCAAAAGAAAATAACACCCCCAGAAAACCGTATCAACAGTTTGATGTCAGTATTAATTTTAAGCTTAGATATTAAAGAAAAAGATAGCCTCCGGACAATGATACAGGTATATTACACTGTCAAATAACTCATTACAGTAAATCATGAAGAGTCATCAATAGCGGGTATGACCTCCAGCAGCCGCTTGCAGCGCCCTCATCCTACATGACATACCCTGTGACAATTGTTATAGAGTTTGGATGGGGATAAAATACCACGCAGTGATATTTGCCTGTCGCAGTTCATCGATGACCATAGCTATTTGTGAGTTACAACTGTACTTCCGCCTACAGATGTTCAATTGGGTTCATATCTGGAGAGTTTGCAGGCCAGGACAGTTGCTGAACCCATTGGTTTCGGAGAAAAGCAGTGATTTTGCGAGCTCGATGTGGGGTCGTCTTGGTACACAAAGTTGTTCCTGAACAACTCTTACAAATCGAGGCATTGTTTGCTGTAGAATGTCTCTGAAGGAACCCTGTTTGAGGTTGCCTCCTAGAAAAACCAACTGGTTCTGGACATCGGCATAGAATGCTCCCCAAACAGAGACGTTACTACGCCCTGCTTGCACCCTAGGCAGTACACAATCATCGTTTTATGCCTCTCGTACATGTCACCGGACACGGACTCGACCGTCAACCCTGAAAACTCCATATCTGGCCTCCGAAAACGACGTGATTTCAGTGTTTTGGCTGCAAACGCACGTGGTCCCCAGCCCATTGCAGACGTCGCTGTATATGACCCGCTGTTAACAGTGGTTTCCCTACTGGTCTTCCCGCAAAATAACTGGCTTGCATTAATCTCTTGTTCCCGAGAAACGGCGGTTTGAATGACATTCTGACATTCTTTTCTGAGGACACTGTACGACCATCACGGCGCGACCATAAGAGAAGGCGATCCTGTCCTTTTGGTGTGATACGCGGACACCCTAGTCGAGGTATTGGAGAAGATGACCCTGCTGTAGCATTATTTTGTAGGGCTTCACTAACGGTTCTTGATAAATGTTGCTTTGCATGACAATTACTGTCCGTTTCTGGCCATTTCCTCTGAGAGCAAGAATCCCATAATAAGGTGCGTTCATTAGCTGTTGAACCATATATTCTGTAAGGTACCTGTCAAGCTTCAGAGTGATCCCTTTCTAACTTCCCTAAATGCACTCCTTAGATTGGCCAAACCCATGCGTTTTTATACAAGGGCAGAAATTGCCGAAAAAGACCACCCCTCACATTTCTGACCACAAAACATGCACATGCATGTATCAATTCTTTCGAAAGTTGTGTGGTACCCTGTAATTAGGTAGCACACCTGGCTACACATGTAGTGACACCTCAATTTTGGATTTAAAGTAGTTAGAGAGAAAATGAATATTTTGTAGACAATGTACTCGCCAAAAATAATATTCTATATTAAGTAGTAACCCTGTATTTTGAGCTGTCTTAGAAACTGCTGGTAGTAATTTATATGTGGCTCACTCTGTCTCTATATTTAAGCTGCTTTTTTAACCCCATAGAGCCTGGCAGCATTTGACCTAGAAAGTGCCCTTGGTCCTGAGCCCTCTACCCAGATGCACTCAATTTTACAGGCGGCCTCATTTAATCGATTATAATGTACTCACTTGTCTAGAAAACACCTAAGAATGGTACATTTTTAGAAAGCCAAGAATGTAAGCTTTAAAGTCATATCAGTTTTATTCACATTTGTTAATTTAGGTAGAAATAGGAGGAGTTTAAATATGAGACTTGCTTTTCTCGAAGAGAAGTAAAAAACAAAACTTTAATTTCAGCATGCACATTCTTTTTCACTTTACCAAACAATTTGTTGGAATTTTCACATAAACATCCGAAATATGTTTTAAACAATGTCAGAAAATTTCAGAAAGATATCTTATTTAGTTTTTTAGATATGATAAATTTCCTGAGATGCGTGCTGTACCTAAAAACCTGCATCACGTCAGAGAGTTGCACAATATACCGGCAGGCTAGCTGACTAGAAGACGTCCACCTAATTACTTTTATAACTACGAATATATTGTAAATTTTAGTGCCTTTTTAGATAGTTTTTCATAGTTTTTTTTTTTTTTTCAACTAAACCAGGATACTCATAAAATTTTGTTTTGCACTCAAACCATATACAATAATACAAACATTATAATGAGCAAATATTACACATTCGTGAATAAAAATTGCATCATAAAAATACAAGTAAACGTGGCATTTGTACTAATACACAAGCAGGAAAAGATATGTTGATACAGCGCACTAGTAAAGATATTCATCATCATTCAGTGCCCTGCTGTCCAGCGTTGGCGATCATGTCTCTCCACACATCTCGGTCCCGAGTGGCTCTCAGCAAGTCAACTGTCGTCTCCAGTCCCATCCAGGATACCAGACCGTCTGTGATTTTTTCCCGTTGTCTTCCACGGCTTCTTTTCCCATTAATTTTGGCTGTAGTGGTCAGATGCTCAAGACCCCCATTCCTCATAATGTGGCCGAAAAATTTTGCTTGTCGTTTTCTAATTTTGTTAAAGAGCGATCTTTTGGCGTCTGCATCTTTCAACACATTTGTATTTGTTTTTCTATCAGTCCAAGGTATGTGCATCATTCGTCTGTAAAACCACATTTCAGTTGCTTCGATTTTCTTCTTCATTTGTTTACTTAGGGTCCAAGCTTCGCATCCATACATAAGAATAGGTTCGATGTAACATTGTAAAACTTTCTTTCTGGTGATAATTGATAAATGTTTGTTGGTTAAAACTGATTTCATTTTTTGAAAAGCTGCCTTTGCTTGAGCAATCCTTGATTTTATTTCCGTGTCGCTGCGCCCATCGGCTGCGATGCGGGTTCCTAGGTATTTAAAAAGAGGAGTTTGTTTTAGTTCTGTTCCATTTGTGTAAATTTTACAGTTAGCTATTTCTTTCTTTCGGCTAACTACCATTACTTCCGTCTTCTTGCTGTTCAACTCCAGACCTTTTTCACCACTTTTTGTTTCCACGATGTTTAGAAGTTCTTGTAAGTCCGCCTCATTTTCGGCAATCAGGACGGTGTCATCCGCATATCGCAAGTTGTTAAAGATGTGACCACCAAAATTGATTCCCGGTTTCCCATCTAACTCTCTCATTATTTCTTCACTGTAGAGAGAGAACAGATCAGGAGACAGTACACACCCTTGCCGGACGCCCCTTTTAATTTTTTGGAATGAGCTTAAGTCGTTATCGACCCGCATAGCAGCTTTCTGCTCCCAATATAAGTTTTTGATAATTCTAATGTCCTTTCCGTCCAGGTTTAAATGCTCGAGTTGTTTCAATAATTCACAGTGCTTCACCCTGTCGAAAGCTTTTGTGTAGTCTATGAAGCAGAGGTATACCTCTTTTTGCATTTCCAAAGACCTTTCTAACAGTGTTCGTAATATATATATTGCATTTGTCGTGCCTTTTCCTTCGACAAAGCCACATTGCTCTTTTGCTATCTCAGGCTGAATTCGGTTTCTTGCTCTCATCATAATTACTTTAAGGAATATTTTAGTTACATGGCTCATAAGACTAATCGTTCTGTGGAGCTCGCATTCAATGGCACCGGGTTTCTTCGGGAGGGCAATAAACACCGATTTGTATAAATCTTCTGGAATCCTGCCAGAGTTGTAAATATCGTTTAAAAGATCTGTAAGAGTTTTGATGCCAAAAGAACCGAGGGCTTCTAGGTGTTCGATTGAGATATCATCTGGGCCTGTAGCTTTGCCTTTTTTCATTCTTTCCATTGCTTTCCTAACCTCATCTTGCAAAATTGGGGGACCTTCAAAGTTGTTCTTTACTGTAAAATGGAATCGTCTCTGGAATCGTCCTCAAATAGGTCCTGGATGTATTCCGCCCAGCGGTTAAGTATGCCTTCTTTGTCCATGATTACAGTGCCATCTTTAGCTTTTAAACAGCCTGTCGCCGTACATGTTCTTTTTCTTCTCATTATTTCTTCAACGTTTTTGTATAGAATCTGAGAGTCAAACCTTTGTTGAATATCAATTTCTCTGCATTTATCTTCCAGCCATTCTTCCTTTGCTTTGTTACATTTTGTTTTGATTTCTCGATTCAGTTTTTCATATTCAGCTTTGTTGTTCTTTGCTTCTCTTCGTTTGTCCATTAGAGTTAGAATTTCCTCTGTCATCCAGTTTTGTTTTGCTTCTTTTTTCTTTTTAGGTATTTCTTTTTCTGCTGCTTCGGTTATACACATTTTTAAATTTTCCCAATTCTGCTCGATTTTGTTGGACCATTCTAGACTTTCAAACTTATTTTCGACCGCTACACGATATTTTTCTCGGAGAGTTGAATCGCACTTCAGCTGTGCAAGGTCCAGCCTTATTTTTCGTTTGCCTCTTTAAATAATTTTTAATTTGAGCCTTAATTTCGCCATTACCAGTCTGTGATATGTATAACAATCTGCCCCGGGATATGTTTTTGCAGATAATATGGAGTTTCTAAATCTTTTGTTTATAAGTATAAAATCCACTTGGTTTTTCACACAGTAAAGATATTACATCTGTATGTATACACAAGCAGGAAAAGACATATGTTGATGCATTTCATAAGTAAACATATGTCATTTGTACTTAGACATAAGCAGGAAAAGACATGTTGATGCTGTACAACGTAACATATGATATTTGTATTTATGCACAAGCAGGAAAAGACATGTTGATGCAGCACACAAGGCAACATTTCTCCTGACTTGCCACGAAAACGGTTACAGTCATTTTATCAGCAATATAGCCATTCCAATTGCTATTGTCGTCTGCTTGGTTACTGCAGTTAGTACATGTATCATCAGCGGTTTTCATAAATCAAGCCCCACGTCCGAATCTGCTCTCTGACAACTCATACTAGCCAAAGGTACATCATCTTTGAAGTTATCGGAGTATCAAAATCTATCAAGGACTCTTCCCCGAAGTCTGAATTTTCTTACTAATCTAAAATATTTCTCAACCCATAACTTCTGCTGACTTCTCGCCGCCATTATGATTTCATAGTGCCTCGACAATGATTGAAATAAATCGCTTTTTCATTATCTAATTCTCGCTACACGTCTTTCAAAAGCCAGTAGTAAACAAAAAACTAACATTAAGTTAGTCTTGTGATAGAAGCATGAATTGTTACAAATGACAGGGGACAGTACAAGCATATAAACACAGAAACCGCGTATATGCGGTTTCGGCACTGATGACTTTTTAAAATCAACCGCATATGTGCGGTTCCCGGCGCTATGGGGTTAAACGGACTCTAGTTCGGCTAGATAAGATGAGAGAAAAAGACTCCAGTTAAACAATGTGAAGTGGACTACGAAAAGAAATCTAGCGACATAGCATTAGTGTCAATTGTAATTTTTAGCTGCAAAGTGACAGTCACCAGCACTAACCTTTATAAAGAAGTTTGGAAGAAGCCCCACAGGTGGTCCGCCCCCATCTTGTGTACACAGCTCCCCCTACAGTCGTGTTTGGTGGCAGACCTATAACAAGGCTGTACGTAAAATAATGTATCAGGGTACTTAGCCCAACATTTATTTATCCCGTTGGTGAGAATGTCAGTAAGTTAATGCATTAAACATCTCATGGTCGAAACTCACGACCCAGTAATTTTTATTAATGTTCTGAAGAAATACAAAAAGTGTTTACCTAGGTTTTGGATAAGATCTTTAATTCTGTCATCTGTCACTGCAGGGCCTGGGGGACCCTGTAATCGATAGTTGAACTGTCAGTGGCACTGATGGTCTTTTATATGTGTATCTTAAATTGTGAAACCTGATGCACCGGGGAAGTTATACGTTAATTTGTCAAGTAAGATACAAAAATTTAATGTTTTAATTATTAAAACAAATCTCGCTTGACCTACCTGGAGTCCGTTTTGACCTGGAACACCATCTCTTCCATCTTTTCCAGGTTTACCCTCTGCCCCAGATTTCCCATCATGGCCATGTTTTCCGTCTTCGCCAGGTTTCCCATCTCTGCCTGGTATCCCATCTCTGCCAGGTTTCCCATCTCTGCCTGGTTTCCCTACATCACCAGATTTTCCGTCACGGCCAGGTGTCCCATCTCTGCCATCCCTACCTGGAAGACCCCTGCATGCACTTGGGCAAATGGAAGCTGTAAAAATGTAATTATAGCAACAGTGTATAATGTGTCTGACCGTGTCTGGTTCTTATTATCATAGACAACATATATATATATATATATATATATATATATATATATATATATATATATATTCNTTGCTCGATTTTGTTGGACCATTCTAGACTTTCAAACTTATTTTCGACCGCTACACGATATTTTTCTCGGAGAGTTGAATCGCACTTCAGCTGTGCAAGGTCCAGCCTTACTTTTCGTTTGCCTCTTTGAATAATTTTTAATTTGAGCCTTAATTTCGCCATTACCAGTCTGTGATCTGTATAACAATCTGCCCCGGGATATGTTTTTGCAGATAACATGGAGTTTCTAAATCTTTTGTTTATAAGTATAAAATCCACTTGGTTTTTCACACAGTAAAGATATTACATCTGTATTTATACACAAGCAGGAAAAGACATATGTTGATGCATTTCACAAGTAAACATATGTCATTTGTACTTAGACATAAGCAGGAAAAGACATGTTGATGCTGTACAACGTAACATATGATATTTGTATTTATGCACAAGCAGGAAAAGACATGTTGATGCAGCACACATGGCAACATTTCTCCTGACTTGCCACGAAAACGGTTACAGTCATTTTATCAGCAATATAGCCATTCCAATTGCTATTGTCGTCTGCTTGGTTACTGCAGTTAGTACATGTATTATCAGCGATTTTCATAAATCAAGCCCCACGTCCGAATCTGCTCTCTGAACACTCATACTAGCCAAAGGTACATCATCTTTGAAGTTATCGGAGTATCAAAATCTATCAAGGACTCTTCCCCGAAGTCTGAATTTTCTTACTAATCTAAAATATTTCTCAACCCATAACTTCTGCTGACTTCTCGCCGCCATTATGATTTCATAGTGCCTCGACAATGATTGAAATAAATCGCTTTTTCATTATCTAATTCTCGCTACACGTCTTTCAAAAGCCAGTAGTAAACAAAAAACTAACATTAAGTTAGTCTTGTGATAGAAGCATGAATTGTTACAAATGACAGGGGACAGTACAAGCATATAAACACAGAAACCGCGTATATGCGGTTCCGGCACTGATGACTTTTTAAAATGAACCGCATAACGGACTCTAGTTCGGCTATATAAGATGAGAGAAAAAGACTCCAGTTAAACAATGTGAAGTGGACTACGAAAAGAAATCAAGCGACATAGCATTAGTGTCAATTGTAATTTTTAGCTGCAAAGTGACAGTCACCAGCACTAACCTTTATAAAGAAGTTTAGAAGAAGCCCCACAGGTGGTCCGCCCCCATCTTGTGTACACAGCTCCCCCTACAGTCGTGTTTGGTGGCAGACCTATAACAAGGCTGTATGTAAAATAATGTATCAGGGTACTTAGCCCAACATTTATTTATCCCGTTGGTGAGAATGTCAGTAAGTTAATGCATTAAACAACTCATGGTCGAAACTCACGACCCAGTAATTTTTATTAATGTTCTGAAGAAATACAAAAAGTGTTTACCTAGGTTTTGGATAAGATCTTTAATTCTGTCATCTGTCACTGCAGGGTCTGGGGGACCCTGTAATCGATAGTTGAACTGTCAGTGGCACTGATGGTATTTTATATGTGTATCTTAAATTGTGAAACCCGATGCACCGGGGAAGTTATACGTTAATTTGTCAAGTAAGATACAAAAATTAAATGTTTTAATTATTAAAACAAATCTCGCTTGACCTACCTGGAGTCCGTTTTGACCTGGAACACCATCTCTTCCATCTTTTCCAGGTTTACCCTCTGCCCCAGATTTCCCATCATGGCCATGTTTTCCGTCTTCGCCAGGTTTCCCATCTCTGCCTGGTATCCCATCTCTGCCAGGTTTCCCATCTCTGCCTGGTTTCCCATCTCTGCCAGGTTTCCCTACATCACCAGATTTTCCGTCACGGCCAGGTGTCCCATCTCTGCCATCCCTACCTGGAAGACCCCTGCATGCACTTGGGCAAATGGAAGCTGTAAAAATGTAATTATAGCAACAATGTATAATGTGTCTGACCGTGTCTGGTTCTTATTATCATAGTTAACATGTAATATATATATATATATATATATATATATATATATATATATATATATATATATATATATATATATATATATATATTCCAAAGATTAAAGGATTTTACTTATGCCGATATGCAAACCCAGATAAAAAAAAATTAAAAATAAATTTAAAAAATGAAAATAACGACAGCAAACTTTTGATGTTAAATGTTTTTAATGTTTAAATAACTTTCAATTAAAAACTTAATAGGTGGAAATTTCGAAATATCTCAAAATTGATGTTTCTCTTTCTAGTTAAGATATTCGTTATTGTCCAGTGAGGTCCACATCAGCTGCAGTAAATGTGTGACTATCAGTCTTTACCACAATAAGTGCAGTACACTTCCAG